TGATCACCAAAAAATTGCTATATTACATGTTTAGGTACAGGATTTAAATATTCAAGCATATGATGAGAAGCGGCAAGGTGGTTGCAGTGTACAATGTAAACAAATAGCTTTGGAAAGTGAACGTAGTCCTTGAGAGCATTTTCCAGACAATATAAAAACCCCTTTCTTCTGACTCGTAAATAGGACCATAGGCCAACACAAAGTATCCATGGTTCAGGCATCTGATGTTTTCTAGTAAAGTTCAGTCAAAATGGGCAGTGCTGAGGTCTCCGAAATAGTAAACGTCTATTTCTTTACTTTAAAAAAAAATGCCACGATTGCAGCACAGTGCAGCATATACCTTAAATACAAAAATATTCTCTGTTCTTTTGTGATAATAGACCTTGCATTCAGGAAAGTAGTTACGTCTGCCCTGGGCAGATGCAGTCCATTTCTTTCAAGTTATGTAAGGCAATCACCGTGATAATTTTACTTTATATGGCTAGCGTCCAGAACTGCTCTCCATGTGTTATGTTTTGCGCCCGCTCCATAAATGTTCTGGGGTGCTTTTGTGATCTGATGAGCACTCGAAAGGCGACCTGCGGCCCAAAGGAGACCTGGAATCATAGGAAGACCTCTGATCTAAAGGTGATCTCGGCCCACTACCAGAAGCTCTATGGTCCATTTGCCAGTCTGAATGGTATCGGTAATCCCTGGAAGATTTGTGATGGCTGTAGTCAGAACTTGATCTGTGATCTGAATGTGAACGGTGATCAGAATGGGATCTGTCCTTTAAACTTCCTTCCGTGCTTGACCTATGATCTCTGCTTCTGTGGTCATCCAGCTTTCTGTGTTTGCTTTCACTGTGGTACCTGCAACAACAAGAAAAAAAAAGAAGACATATGAAGGACAATAAAAATCAACAATCATAGAACCAAAAGCCTATTTGTCAGGAACAAACATAAAACAATGCAGAAAAACCTTATGCAAGCACTTATTGGTCACTGTCAAGCTTCACATTTTTTGTGCAACCAATACTCTGTCATATCAGTGTACCATTGTAATTGCAGGACCTGGCGGTTATGTCTGGACTGTGCCCGTCACAACCAACACCAGGTGTTTAAGGATACCATCAGCGCTACATATAGAAGACTACAGATGAAGTGTTTATAACCACTGCATTGTACCTTCCGTCCCATTTGCAACAGCGAGTGAAGGTGCCCCCAAATGATTGAAGAGGTCAATCGTATATGGTTACTGCTACATACAAAATCGTTGGCTATTGTTTAGCAGAATGTTATAGGTCAAGGGAAAGAGTGTCTTTTCTAATTGCCAATCTTCTAGGAGCAGGGCAAATATACCCATAGGTCTACTGAGACTCCCTGCATGACAAGAGAAATACCACTTTACATATCTCAGACCCATTATTTATTTCTTAAACTTAAATTGTCCACTTCACTGCTTACTGCCACTGCTAAACTATACTGCAGACAAATCTCTTTAACACAATGTAACATTCACATAGGTTTGTTGACAAATCCCTTCATACTGTTCTACAGCGCAGTCCTTGAACACATTCGCCAGAAGAACTGGTATCAGACACTGACATGAGGGGGGCACTGTGTATTTAAAAAAACCATCATCGACATAACCCAAGAATATGATCAAAGGGGTTGGTCCCGTGTTCCCCAATGGACTTCAAGAAAATGATTTTACGGCGCGTACAAAAATCGTATTTACTTTTTTGTCCATTGAGGGACATAGGGTGTAAGGTCCTTCAGGCCGCTCTTTGAGCTGCCAAATGTAAAAAAAAACTTCCTAAGCTGACATTAGTTAAGGCATCAATGTCCACCAGGTAGAACTTAGAGAACATGTGAACAGAAGACCAGGTGGCAGCTTTACAAATTTGGAAAACATTATCCTTATGCCAAAAAACCTAAGCAGCACCAACGGATTTAGTAGCATGTGCCTTGACAGGAGATGGTGCAACCCAAATATTGAGACCATAAACTTGGATGATAATCTAAGCCACCGAGAAGTTGATGAACCTTTATAAGGATGAACCTTGAAAGAAGCAGTAGCTGAAAGAATCTTTCACACCATGAACCAAATCAAGGTCATCAGAGAGAAATAGAGTGACATTTCCTAAGGGAAACCACGAGCCAGACAGAGTGACAGAAGAACCCTGCCCTTGTTGAGAATAAAGGAAGAGACTGCTTTAGGTAGGTAGGATAGAAATATCCTGGAAATCACTGATTTGGAGATGCCTCTGTCATTCAAAAACCTTGGGCGTTAACAACCACAATGTTAAAGTCAGCAACCGTAAAAAAAAAGGATGGAAAATCAGCTAAAAAACCTGTCATCTGAGGGCTTGAAAGTTTGGTTGAGAGCTTAACCAAGCACACTGAAAGCCTTGACAGTTGCCATGCCTTAAAAGCAGCTGTTTTGGGACACATTAAGTTACCAGGGCAGAGTAACACACAAGTCAGTTAGACTTTTCCCAGCCGAACTGATGACCGTTCTCCTAGGACACTAGCAAAAACTGAGGCCTGCTGGTGGTAGGAGGGGTAATCCAAGGTTGGCCAACAGGTTTTTTTGTTCGGTAGTGTTCACTCCGACTGTGAGTGAACAAGAAATTCATTAATGTTGAAGAGGCACAGTCTTCCCTGTCTCCCTACTGCCTTCCTATGACACCAATTCTATAATAACTGGCTATTAACATTTAAACATTGTAGGTAGATGATCCGGAGAGGATTAGATTGGCTTTGGGGATTAGGAGGGAATCATTTTTCTTTCATAAAGCATATATGATTTTGCTCTAAGGGGGGGTTTTTTGGCCTTCCTCTGAACAAAGGGTTTATGGTTCTGAGGATGAAAGGTTTTTTCCATTTATTTTTGGCTTTCAGTTGAACTTGATGGATTGGTGCCTTTATAATTATACTATGCAACACATTCCCCTCAGAAAAGCTGGAAAATCAGATATGCAGTGAGCACTCACCTATCCTGCTTATAGTGGTGATCCCAGTCTCTGTGGTCTTTGCCATTACTGAAGCTGGAATAAGGTCTTTTCCTAGAGTCACTCTTCTTGTAGGAATCACTCTGGTGTCTGTCCTTATGGTGGTGATCATTGTACTGTGATAAGTGCCTGTCAGAGGAGTAACTGTCTCTACTGCTGTCGTCATGGTTTGCGTTTTCTTTTAGCCTGTCTACATCTGAAAAAACAAGCAGCATATTAAATTAATGGGCATTTTAGAGAACAGTAACAGTAGTTTAACATCAGTGGCTGTTTGGAGAAATATGAAGACAAGACCTTTACATTTGATACACACATGCACGCACACACATGTAGACGAAGACTTGTGTCAGGCTTTGTTGCGTGAGGGGGGGTTCCACAAGTAGTTTATGGGGTAAACCATTCACAGCTGCAAAAAACAGTTATACTGTGTTAAACATTTACCTGGATGCCGTACGATCGTGTTTACACTGCTGCCAACGTTCTGGTCATTGTGCTTTAAGAAAAGAAAACAATTTGAATTATGTCCATCCAATTAAAATGGAAAGCGCTGTGCTTTCATTGTACAAGTACAAATCAGTTTACCTGAGATTCCTGGCGCTTCTTGATAGCATGTTTGTAAAGCTTGTGCAGTTTCCGGGCATCAAATTCAGTGAACTTCGATACAAATATCCATAGGTTTCTAAGCAACAAGGAAATGGACAGTTAAAACTAACATCCAATAAAACCAATGTTTCTTTTACACACTGGCTAATAAGGAAACTATCAATGGTCTATTAGAAGATCTTATCAGCTGCTTTACTAAAGACAAAAGTACTTTTTCACTCAAATGAGTGGCTTTCTATGCAATGTAAGGAGACCAGTCTGGAAAGAAACATGGAAGCTGAAGGCTATCTGAACATGCTAGTTGCTTTTACAGCTTCAGTCACGGACCTAGAACAATTATGTAGATAACTTCTGACCAGGGCCATTTCTCTAATGATGTGACAGGAGACTTAACTCAGGCACCATCACCTTCAGTCACTAGGGCGGTGGCAGGCAGAGCAGCAGGTTGGCAGTGGTGTAACAATAGCCTTAGAAGCCCACACAGGTTCTGCTAGGGGGTTCACTGAGGAGGGTTAATTAGGAAATATAAACTAAGGTTTCCAGTAAAGAAAAGCTGAAGTCAGACCTCCCTCTGTGCAGTAAAACATTTTCTCATCTATCTTAGTGTAGATTTAGTGCCCTTTAAACTCCTGCTACAAAACTGGGATTTGTGACTGCATTAGGCATAAAGGGTTAATATCAGAGTTTCACCTCTGTTAAAACCTTATAGATGGGCTGAGGTTTGTAGTTTTATAAGAAAAAAAAAAGAAGTTTAATAAAGCTAGAGTTTGAAGTTTGTAGGTAAGTGTGTGCAAGAGCATTATTCATGTTATCATATTATAAAATATTATTAATTTGATCAAGGTTATTATTAGTACTACTATACATTTTTTTTTTTTAATCACCAGCACTGCTCCCTAGTAGTGTACGGACTATGCCGACAGCTCTCCAGCTGCCTGTCCTTGGTACATACTTCATGCTTAGATCAATGACACATTCACTGGAATTTACAGAGCGTCTCTACAACGCTCTTTAGAATCCTGTTGTCCATCTACACGGCACGTGTCGGTACTTGCACCAGATTCATGTACCTATTACAAACGCAACTCAATGGCCCAGAATGCACCTGCATCAGCAAGCTGCATTGGAGTGCAATTCAGAATGAATAGTACTACATAGCACCATTGCAGGTAGGGTGTGGTGGGTGCTTTGCGGTAACACGTATGATATGCGGAAACACATTCTCACAAGTCAATACTGTGAATGGGACCTAAGTTTTGGTCTCCCTTGACCCACGTTACTGTGTACAATCTAAGCACTCTCAGGATTGACTTATTACTCGAAGGCTACATTTAAACAGGGCTTAAGGCTGGGAAAAGAAGCTACGAATTCTTGCGGCAGGAATTTCAGGTGTGTTCATACAAATGTGGTTGCTGTGCCCGTTTAACTGAATGACAGCGGCCTCATCAGTCAGTGCAGTCTGTGTGTAATCATACATGGAACTATTATATGCGGTTTGGGATGGCACAGATTGTTCCTGGATGCAATCGGTCTTGTTGGTGGCCAACAAGAGAGCTTAAAAAGGAAAAAAAAAAAAAGAAGCCTCGCCTTGTATTTTATTTTTCACAGCTCAGTCACCTAACTCCCACAGTGTATGTTACTTTTCATCCTATACTTCTGTGTGCGGTAGAAACTGATACGGACTGACAGTTTACTCCTCTTCATTCCCAACCACGCTCGGCAAAGAGACAGCCTCTTACGACACTGCACTTTCTGGACACAAGTGAAGTCACAGGGATGCAGAGGGAGGGCACACGCTCCCACAGGAATCAACACGGGCACTAGAACTGCATTGTTTTTTTGTCCGAAAAGTGCAGACACAGCAAGAGAACAGCTGTCAATCAAAAGGCCATTTCCTTTGCAGATTGTGGTCAGGAATGAAAGGAATCAGTCTTGTCAAAGCCTTTATCTCCGTTTCTACATCACACAGAAGCCTGGAATATCTATGGGCTAAAAACCAACACACACAGAGGAAGTTAGTTGACTGAGCTGCAAGACGACTTTTGAACCCTCTACCAGAACTCTTTCCACTGTCTTCTCAATAAAAATAAGAATGACTGCACAACAGCCTGCACTTGCAAAACAAATCAGCAATGGCAGATCCCACGAGACTGCCCTGGTCCTTTACATTACACCTGCAGTGTATATACAAGATAACAGAGCAGCTATATGTCCTGACATGCTAAACAGTTCAGCAGGTCAAAAAAACCTCTTCCTTGTCCTAATCTCATTGCACTGCCTTGGCAACATTCAGGTAAACCACATTACCCACAAAATGAGTCCTGTCATGAGAAATAAATGGGGTTCCATAGCGGACCTAAAAATGCTAGTTGCCTGGGTGTTGTGCCAACCAAATGACTAAGTACTTTATACGTCACTGACACAGAACCTACATGCAGATCAGGAAAGTCAGTCCTCCTGTTCTTCACACTTGTTCTGGATAAATTATATTTAAACAAACATTGGGTCTGGAGGCAATTAGTATTTTCAGAAAGATTGAGCAATGTCATCAATGTATTTAATTAAAAAAGCAATATGTTTATTTTCCCTACCCCCAAGCTACACAACGTTAGCAGTTAAGTATGTGGTCGTCATAAATGCTTAGAACCAAGCAGTTCAAAAGTTAGCGTTTAAATAAAAAAAAACAGAGCTTCATTAGCCACATTACAACACAGTTGGTCAGTGATTTACACATTTTGAAGAAAGATAAATCAGTAGTAGGAACATCCTTAGAGGGATTGAAATGACTGAAGTTTTTCCTTCCATATGCTTTACAAATTTTGCATGCAGCATTCAACAAATTTAGATGAATGATGGAAGCTTGTCTAAATAGTTTCAGATTGGCATCTAAGATCAATATAAACTATATATAAAAAGGAATAAAAAGTACTTACTTCCTCCATTGCTTAATTTGTTCAGGGTTTGCATATTCTTTTAAGCATTCTGTAATGTGATCCCCAATTCTGATGAGGCACTGCCTGGTGTGTTCCAGCTGTTCTCTCTCAGAGAGTCCCTTTTCAGGTCGATCCAGCTGTTTCAATGCTGCCTTCACCGGTCTCATCCTCTCTTTACACTTTAAAAGAGAATATATATATAATCATGTTAGGGGGGATTGATTTGTGAACATAAACCCTTCCCCACCCTCCTACCATACTGTGAAAAAAACAAAAAACACTGATCTAACATCAACTTAAAAGAGAAGTATGACCAAGCCTTTTATGGCTTTAGTTCTCTTTTGAGTCACAAGAGGACAATTACTAATGCCCTTCCGAGACCCAAAACTCAGCATATGGCGGGCTATTGCCCACTACCTGATTGACAGCCGGCTCTGCCTCTCTAGAGACAAAGCCAGCTGTGCCCGCCCCCTCCCCTGTCTGTCCCTCCAGTCAGTGCTGGAGAAACGGAGAGGGGAATCCCTGCAGAGAGGCGACTGAGGGCCAGTTCACACCACAAAACGTGCTTTCCAGAGTTTGGCATCTGGAACGCACTAGAACACAAGCCGCCCCCTGCGTTCAGCGGCGCATTGAAGTCAATGCACCGCCACACCCCCTCCCACCCCTGAACACAGGGAGCCGGCCGGGTTGCGTTCAAGACCAAACTCTCTGGAACGCAGACTTTGTGGTGTGACCCGGCCCTGCCAGTCACCGCAGGAAAAGGATTGTGAACTGAACGATCAGCAGTTTGTGAACACTCAGTTCTCGAATTATAGAGTCGAGTGTGACAGCTGCAGTGTCGCACATCAGCTCTAACTATGGGAGTGTATTTCACTCTTCCCATAATTCTCCTTTAACAGACACTGTGGTGTGTGCAGGCAGGGATAGTGACCGACTGCGCCAACCTGTAGTGCTTCCTCCTGCAGTAGAGCAGGAGGAAACTCAAAGCTGCTCATTTTTGCAATGTAATTGTCCTTTTTGGGGCATTTGTTTGGTGACATGTAAGGACCCCCACAAGTAATGCTGAATTCCCTTAGGAGAAACCTATCAGAGACAAAGGTTGCCATTACAAAAGCTATTTTTTTGGCTGTCATATTTACCTATCTCAAACTGCCCTCTATTCTTTGATCATATTTGAGATCCTAGGCTTACAGGAGAGAAAGGTAAACCCTGGGGCCAGGAAGGGGAAAGCTGGCACTTGGAAGTCCAGTAGGAGTGTCTAGGTGGTTCTGCATACACGAGTTTGATTTAAGCCTTGGATTGCCTGACGGTAGCATTTACAGAGTGGCAGTCAAAAAGTTAAAAGCAGAACACCAGACTAAATTAAAGGATGGCATGCCTGCTAATGCATTCCTCGCCATCAGGATAACAAAGCAAATGAGAACACAAATACATCAGTGATGGTAAAAGGATATTACAAGTACAAAGAAAAAAGAAACTTACAACACTGAAAGTCTTTTGATCGAGCTCCTCTGCCTCGTCAGAAATTGGGACAGGCTCACTACTGGCAGTTATATGAACAGGTGTTTCAGCAGAAATGTTTTTCTTCGGTTTCTCTTTCTCAGGCTTCACATCATTCACCTAGGCAATAAATGTACTTTTAATGGCTGGAAAACAAGGGATTCATTCACGATCTGTCATTCCCTTTAGTTATTTGTAACACGCATCATGGGGGTACGTTATAGGAACAATGTATATTTTATACTGCCTCAGTTGCAGTAGTTAATCTTTGGTATACCTACCTTTATACATTTTCCATGCGTCTTTTGGCAGGTCACATGATGAGCCGGGTCCTCTTTGGATCTTGTCAACCGCACAGGGTTTTTTAATGATGCAGAGAACAGCGCTGCCATGAGCACTGCTCTATGTATCATTATATACTAGTGCAGGTTACCATGAATCCCTGACTGTTTTAAAACGCTGCAGTGGGACTATTCTTCTTTGTATTAGCCAGGAGTTGGGCTTTAAAAACACATTAAAAGCAAATCTTTAAAGGCAACATGGTAGAAGGTGGAATCCTAACTACAGTAAAATGTACCTCAGTTAGAAAGAAAACCGATGCCTTCTGTTTCAGTGATGCTGACTAAAATTTAGTCGATGGGTTCTTCTATAGGGAAGAGAGTGGCTCAGCATCTGACAAATTAAGCTTCTGGAGGTGCATTTACTAATCAGGGGGATCAACAAGTTACACTAAGCTAAAAAGTGCTTTTTGTATGAAGTAGTGAAGTGTCTGTAAGGGGACTGGAAAAATGCTGTTGACAGCCGTCAGTCATGCCTGTGGTAAATACTATCTATTCACAATGGCCATGGGGTATTTATTCAGCAAAGATCGGGCAGCCAGCAGAGTGAAGGATATGCCAAGTTCATGTGAGCTTCTATGTGAACTAGCCAGAGAGAAGGAGGGAGCAATGAGGCTGAGAAGTTCATTGCAGTGCTGCCTCCTCTGCAGGAGGTAGACTGAATACATCTAGTGGCGTAAAAGAGAGACTGCAGCAACGGTTCAACTACCAGAGCTTCATCAGGAGGGAGGAGCCACAGGGAAAGAGTTCTGCACATGTACACGCTAGGCTACTCTCATCTGTGCTGCATCATCGGGTCCCAACCGAGGAGTAACAGAGGGAAATGCAATCAGCAGTTTGGGCATTACAGTGCCCGATTGCCAAAGTAAAGAAGTGCTTCATCAGAGAACATTCCGCTTGCAATGCAGCTGTGGGGAACTATTAGACACAATAGGCCCCAACGTATGTGGTGCACACAAAGATGTAATGGAATATACTGCCCAGCTGTTAGCTGGAAACACTGCCCAGAGGAAAAATAAAAAAGGGAGGGAAGACCTAGCCTCCTACACAGTATTCAACAGAATTGTTAATAGTAACAAAGTGATGTGCTCTACAGGAGGCTGCATAGTCACAGTACATGATAAATTCCCAGCATGGCCATAGGAACTGTGCATAATCATGATTTGCCACGGCCCTGGTCCTGACACTCAACATGGAATCCCTATACTGGCCTAACCTTAATGAGAAGGCTTCATAGCATGAACACACTATTATCACTAGGAATACTGGATCATCGCAGACATCAACATCTGCATGAAAATCTCAGATTGGAGAGCAGTGGTGTGGAATTCCTATCGACCGACGCCCGGGATATGCAGTTTCGGGCGCCGGGCGAGTAGTTTTTTTTTAACATTTAGCCCTGCTTTGGACAAGCAGAGCTAAATATACAGCGTGGGGCCGCCGCTCGTTTTTATACAAGTGATCTAATTAGATCACTTGTATGAAAGGATCGGCGGCTATTGTGTCCGGTCACCGCCACCGTGGCACACAAGCTCACCATAGAGCCCGAAGAGCAGACGAAGAAGGGACGTTCTTCGTCTGCTCTGTGTAATCACTGAGACCATGGCGCTGTGATCACAGCGCCACCTGTCTCAGCCGTCAGGAACTGCACAGAACATCAGTTCTGTGTTGGAGGGCAGGTTCCATAGAGATAACCTGTCACCTCCAAACTATCACATAGGAGTTTTTAAGCCCTATGCGATAGGAATAAAATTAAGTGGGAGAAAAAAATAAATAAAAAAAAAAAGTTATAAAAAAATAAAAATATATACAAATTTAAAAAATAAGTGATAAAAAAAATAAAAAGTTAAAACCAACCCCACTGCATGAAAATAAATGCATGCATAGGACATTGTGTGTGTGCGTTGAGTGCTGCCGCCTTTCCACAGTGTGCCATATTGTGAGAACTATGGGGGGTCAGTGTTTTTCCCCATAGTTCCTCTAAGGGTCACAGGAGGACATAAACTAGCGACCTCCCGTGACCCAAAGTTCAGTATACCGCGAGCTACAGCTCACTATATACTGAGACCGCCGCAGCCGACACGGATCCTGACATTACTGTCGAGATCCAACCAGCTGCATGATTGACAGCTGGCTCTGCCTATCTAGAGGCAGAGCCAGCTGTACCCACCCCCTCCCCCGTTCGTTCCTCTAGTCAACGCTGGAGGATCGGATCAGTGACAGTTACGGCTCTCTGCAGGGACAGGATTACGAAGTGAGCGAGCGACGGTATGTGTTCCCTCACTTTCTGATCTATAGAGCCGACCTGTAACAGTTTCATTGTCACACGTCAGCTCGAACTATAAGGCTGAATGAAAATCACTCACAGTCCTCCTTTAACCAGTTGACATCCGCGGTGTTAAACCCCCTTCCCATCCAGGCCATTTTTCAGTATTCAGCGCTGCGAGCAGTCTGGCGACGGCAACCCGCCACTGCAGCAGTGCCGTCTGTCCGTTTTTTTACTACGGGTGGACGGCAAACAATTGCTCCGATACCTTCCCCAATACTGGAACTTCTGGTTAGCAGAAGATTTCCTCTGACCGGTAGTGCCGTAGGGGAACATGGAGCCAGCTTCCCGTGCAATCAGCAAGCGGGGCAGCAACTGACCCAACCCGGTTTCCTGATTGTCTGGGAAGCCGGCTTCCCAGCCAATCAGGCCATTATTCACCGCCCGGTTTCCTGATTGGCTGGCTCGATGCTGATTGGCTGGGAAGCCAGTTTCCTGGCTAATCACGATCAAGCCGGCCAAACAACATGGAGTCGGCTTCCATGGCAATCAGGAAGCTGGGTAGCATGTAATTACCTGCTGCCCAGCTTCCTGATGGCATGGAGCAGGCTTCCCGGGCAAACAGAATCATTGCTTGTGCTCGATACCCAAAAGCCTATATTGGTGCATCCCTAGTTTTGATTAAAACATTTTTTTTGTATTGGGACAAGTAGATTGTTATGCAGGACAAGTAGATTCGGCCCCCGCTTTAGCCCTTGGACAAGTAGTGGAGAGATTAACAGGATTTAATATATCACCCCTGAATTAACCAGTGCTCATTGGCTGACTGGAGAGACTTCCAGGATTTTAAATATGCAGCATTAATCAGCAGCTGTTAATAGAAAATCTAAAATTCTAGCAGACAGGAAAGAGGCATCCAAACTTCTGAGGATACTTAGCGTAAATGGGCAGGTGTGAGGTGGCAGGGGTTACAGCATCTAGGGTAGTGGCCTTCAGTTTCTTGTGCCTGGTGGCCATTGCTACTGTATGCAGCAGTAACACCCTATGCTGCCTAATGCAATCAAACTTTGTTCCCTCAATGGATAAAAGAAAGAAACATTAAATACAAGGGGCACCAAAGACATAGAATTAAAATGTTAAGGTTTTTTGTTAAAAGGAGTAAAAGCACAACTGAAGACATTTCCTTGCAGGCCAACTTTTCATCTGTGTGTGCAAAGTTCAGCTTAAGCTATTAAGCTCTGTAAACAGACTTTTTTCAACAAAAGGAACCAAGAAGAAACTGGAAAACATAAGAGCAGTCAAACGTTGCACCTGCTGCTATATATGACGAACATAACTATATGTAATATTTCATATTTAACTTTTTTTTTCTACCAATAATTTGAAAAATCTTTAAAATGATAATTTAGCTGAATGTTATAAAGGGAAGTGTTGTGTTCTTCATTATTCCAAAGTAAACTTCATGTGCTATTCTCTTGATGTAACTGCACTTACCTTTTCCTCTTTAATTTCTTTATCTTTCGTAGAATCTTTTGTTTTTGTGTCTTTTTTGTCCTTTACATCTTTTTCTTCTCTCTTTTCTTTTTTAACATCCTTCTTGGTGTCCTTAGTTTCCTTCTTATCCTCCGCCTCCTTTTTAACAACTGGTTCAGGTTCTATTCGTTCATCATTTTCTTTCTCAGCTTTAGACTTTTTACTATTTGTTTTCACCGAAACCTCCTCTTCCTTAAAAATATTATTAATAACAATTCTGTTATGATGGTGGCGGAAAAATCATGGATTTGCAAACTAAAGAACTGCGTCCCCCTGTGCCTAGAATCAAACATGTAACTGCGTGGCAGTGAAGCAATGTCAGTTGTCTTTAAAAACACTGCTCTTCATCACATGACTTTTATGTGATCAATATTCATTTTGTACAATCAACTGGAACTGGCAAGAAATATTTAGAAACCCATATTTATAAGCTGCATTTTCCTTTTTGTTTACTGACCCCATCATAATGTTACCCATTTACACTCACCTTTTCTTCTACTTCCTCTTCCTCCTCTTCCTCCGATTTTTCAGATGTAGGCGGAGAAGATTCACTTTTTATTTCCTCTTCAATTTTCACTGGCTTCACAACCTTGCTCTTTTTTCCTCTAGCTTTCCTTCGCTTAGAGCTTCCCTGTGTATAAGAAGGAAAAATATAGTCTAGTAAAGTCACTGATTTCATTTTTTTATCTTATTATGATGCATGATAGAAAATGATAAGCTTCTACTTTGGGTCCTCTATTATCTATGTCGGTTAACAACTGTTGACAGAAAGCTAGTATCTGGGAAGAAGCCGACGTCAAATGTACATGGCACACAGTGTAAACCCATGGTTGATGAGGATTTTATACCTTTTTATTTAGTGCACTGCTATTTAAAATGAACTCTGGAATCTATGCCCCCCCAAAAAAAGGCAGTCAGAGGACAAAGGAAAAGTAACTAGTATTGGTGTGGTCCCCCTACAGCTAATATTTCTAAAATTACTCGCTTACCATGCCTTGCTCTGCACTGTGTAGAACAAATAAAGTATTTGTAGGCAGACTGCCATCTTTGGTAGAGACAGGGCTTTGCTTTCTCAGAGTACCCAGAAAGAAAAGCAGAAAAAAGCAACCTCATCCAAAGAACAGGAAGGGAGGACTTCCCCCCACTACAGTGCTGGATTCCTGAGCCAGCAAGCCAGGAATAACCTGGCGACAAACAAATCGGTCTGTGCAGAGACCAAATATAGGTTTATTATACTACAACATATTGTTGCGTTGTACAGGTCTGGAGTAAAACTTGGTAAAAAAAACTACCTGGAAGAAGGTTACCAACAGGCTTAGGACTCTCATGCAGAAGCATAGAGTCTCTACTTCTGGACTGGAGAGTTCAAATCTGAGAACCTTAAGTTTCTCCTATGAAAGAAACACTCTGGCCTGAGCTGTAGCCAGGACTAGACCCAGATAATCCAAACAACGAGTCAACCGACAATGCAGATTAGAAGTTTTTATACAAGGATTTTACAGTACAGCACTTTAGCCAAAGTGCCCTACGCATATGTTCTGCCATGAAACAAGAGGCTTGCAGCAAACAGTCACAACTGAAGTTTAATGTTCTAGTCATCTTCTCATATTCAACAAGCAATGGATAAACTGCAGCAATGGTGAAATCTCTTAGGGGATATATACCAAGTCACAGCCAGAACCAAAAAACGACACTGGCAGAAGCTAATGCTCTAGTTTGAGTGGTGCAAAAGCTGATATGGTCTTATTTATTTTCGGTATATTAGCCAAGAGACGGGACTCTTCAGGAGTAAAATCAGAGCACCTCAGAATCTCTTTCTGCAGGCAATTGCAGAAGAGTACACGGAAGTGCACTTGCGGCCACTGTAATCAGAGTGAAATCATAACTGGTTGATTTGGGCCATAAAGTCTTGCATGACCGTGATTAAAAAACCTTCACCAAATGGACACAGGATGCAGCGACACCCAACACAGCTATAGACTCGGAGGGTGGAATAGACTTGGCATGACCACACCGACATGCAACATGACTGCATTATGCAGATGTTAGCACCATCAGTAGGCACGCTGCAAGCAACCAAGCAACTGTTAATGGAAAGCTGGTAGCAGATTAGGATTGAATGGCCAGGAGAAGGCCAAAGTCACTGAAGGTGGCCAGCAGGAGCGGATTGGAGTTCCCTGCAAAATGGTATGCAAATTAGGTAGTTCTTGTTGGTCATGTACTTAGATGAAGCACGGAGATCTTCGGGAATGCTGAAGTTTTACTTGTTTACAAGGACATTACATCAGAATACAGAATTGTGAGAAAGACATAACAGATAAAACTTCCTGTATACCATAGACGAGTAAGCACTACAGACTAACATTGCAGTATACTGCCATCTACAGCTCAAAAGACATAATTACAGTATATGCTGTTACATTTTTCAGTGCTCTGCCCATTTTTTAAGTGCGTCTTCAGGGACAGGGCAAGTGCTAAAGTGACTCTGAACCTCACAAGTGTTCTGCAGGTAACTTTTGCTGGAAAGCGCCCCATGTGGAACCCAATGCCTGAAAGTTACTTCCAGGATATCACTGCACTGTGTCCAGTTCAGTAAAGTCCAAGGGTAAAACTCCAAAAAGACCAGGCTGAGGACAACCACGCTAGATAGCTGCCAGAGACAAAGCTCCAGAAGTAATTTGGAAACTGTACTGGGGGGGCGGGAAAGAGGACGCGAGCAAAAAGCTCTAGGAATTGCTAGCAGAAAGAGGGGTTTATCCTGGGCTGACCTAAAGGCTTTTGTATGCCAGTGGCAGCATAGCCCATATGTTAACGGACTTCCAGTGTCCCGCAATGGATGAGAAAGAAAACGCAATTATGCATACAACAAAAGCACATCATATAGCTTATATGACACAAAAAAATAATCTAAAAAAATCTAACGCTACTTACACCTCCTGAAAGCCGTTGTGCTTCTTTTCTTGCAAGGTCCTTGTTTAGAAGTTTAATGAGGTAGTCTGCTCTGGTCTGTAACTGCTTAGCTTGAGGCTTTTTGTCTGGATCATCAGGTAATATCTAACCGAGAATAAAACATACGACAGCTTTTAAGTGGTTGTCCCCATATTTTATTAGGTACATACCATCTGCAGCAGAAAATACATTACAACAGCTTGTAGAACTTATTCCGACAGGTGCAAACAGATGGATGTGCGATTGTAGTAAAAGCTTAATTAGGAAAGGATATTTCCCTAAATTTATTGTGTGCACATGTCATTATGAAAGCAGAGTTTCCAGTCATAACAAGTTCACAGAAATGATTTTGTAAGGATTTAAAGAGTTACAATAATGAATCAAAATTAGTATGAGCTTCTGAACAAGTGAGGTCAGAAGAGGACAAAACAAGCTGATGACCTTATCTGGCAAGACAACTATATAAAATATATTAAACGTACCTTTTGCGTTAATTTGAGGTCAGGGTCCATTTTAATCATCTCCCAGCTGCCATATCCATACTCATAAATACCAATTAATAGATTTGAGTCATTCTCCTTGTTCCATTCTATATCAAAATGTGCTGCTTTTGTGTGGCATGGAATAACGTATCTGGGGTTATGCAAAGAGAATTATATCACCATGAAATCACCTCAAAATGTCTGGGAAACAAGTATACATGGATTCAAAGGCTTTTCAAGCACAGAAAATAGACTTCTCCACAACTGTGGCTTATACACAAAAAGTGAGAACACACATTTTCCCATCCTTTTCTCCTGATCAAGAAACCGTAACTGATGACAGCCATTACTTTCTAGTGTTCAACATAAGGTTTAGCCATGCAGCAGTGAAACAAAGATGTTCATGTATGTATGTATGTATGTATGTATGTATGTATGTATGTATGTATGTATGTGTATGTGTATATATATATATATGAATAGAAGGACAGTAAAGAAGACTCCATTCCAGATTTTTAATTAAACAAAAGACAAAAAGTGGGTCAACGAGATGAAAAACACTTGTGTGCACATATGCCAAGTATATACCTACATAAACCACATACAAATCTATAGGAAAGCATCAGTCTAAGCACTGCTAGAAAATTGCAGTATAAGACAATCACTGAGAATTAGCCTAACAGCAGAATGATACTTGAAATTTTGTATCATTTTCTAATTACACAAATAGCTCTCGAGTGAATATTAAAGGACCAGGTAACATAGAACCCCATTTTAGTTTTGGTTATTTGAGGACTGTGGGGATTTCTCTACCAGAGATCTAATCTCCACCTAGCAAACAGCAGCCACTATAAGGCACCAGAAACAGGAACCATACCGCACTCCTTACCGGGATTCCCACTTGATGAAGGTGGGTGAAAGGCACCAGGCACACAGGCATTAAAATACATGCTTCCAGGTGCGTTTGGGGCTAATTTCTAAACGCACCGGGAAGAATGTAATGCTTTGCTATGGCTGAATTCACACAGATGTTTAGCAGCATCTAGGCGCGTTTAGTCTAACTGCATATACAAAAACAGGAATTTTGTGCATTTTGGGACCGTTTATCCTGTTTTTACGCAGCTAAACACGCTTTAATGTAGCCAACCTCTAAACAAAGGGAAAAGTAATCTGGGAAGCACAACAGTTTATACTTCCCAGATAACAAGTACCACTCTGCAAAGCAACAGACCCTATCTGGCTCAAGTGCCGACCCTCCCTCTACTACTATGAGTACTGCTGTGTATGGGATTACAGGAGGCTGATATAGACAGATTTAGGTATTTATACCAATTCTGCTTTTAATCATTTCTAAGATTATTGGCTGGCTTCCAATCAAATTAACCCTATGTTTTGCAGGCAAGCTGTAACTGAAAAATGTGCACAAGCTGATTGAACCCAGAGAGTCATAGATTTATGAATTACTTTACACTCAGGTTCAGTATATCTGAAAAATCAAGGGAAATGTCTCATACCTTTTCCTTTCCTCCGGATCTGAAGGAATAGATTTATGCAAAGGAAGCAGCTCTTCCTCATGTGAGCTGACAAGCTTTGCATTAACTTGTACTCCTGAAATACGGAATGTTGGTCCTTTCATTTTTCCTCGCCTTCCACCTTCGATAAGGAGAGAAAAAAAATTACTGCTGTAGAAAAAAAAATTCCATGCATATAGATCTAGTTTGCTGAGCTAAGAGTCCACACTTCTACAGACAGCACATAACACAGAGTAATGCTAAACTACCTATAGGAATTACAGGAAAGCCTTATCCCCTAGTGAACTTGTGCACTGCCTTCATATTGAAGTGCTGAAATCCAAGGATTATAGGGCCTCACCATTAGAGCACTTCTCAGGAAAAAGATGTTCTGAAAATGCTACCAAAATTTTAACAGGCAAAAATAAAGGCAAGTTCTGAAGTGAGATTCACATCAATGTCCCAAAACAAACTCCAACACACTTCCTAATGATTTTCTGTATGAAGTTAGGACATTAAATGTATTCCACATACCTGTTCTCTCTGTACCAGAACTGTCCTTTAATGCTTTAATGCAGCCATTGTGAACCAGTTCTCCAAGTCTTCGGAGGTCTGTTTCTGATTTATCCACAAGCTCCGCATCTCGAGCAATTGCATCTAACCTGGAACAGAAAGAAAGGATTATTTATTGGATTAATTTAACACAACAAAAATTCACATGCAATCTAAAGTCTCCAGCAGGATACATAATCCAAATCCTGAAAAGCAAACAGATCGACGCCATGAAATATCAGACGGAGCAAATTAGGGCAAGCTGATTTTTTTTCTCCAGGGGTGAATAGGTGTATTAAAGTATAAAGCATCACTGTACATCTCAGAAAGACTGACTGTGGTGTATACCAGTCACTGATGCTGTATCAATGACCTCACTAAGCAGCAAGTCTTCTCTTAAGAGAACAGTGCCAGCTAAACCCATCTACAGGAAAATGAATTCAGTTCAATAGCTTATATATATATGACATGTAATTGTCTGACTTGTTTTCAATAAAACTAAAAAACTCAGTTTGCATTCTGCTTTCATTCCCTTCTTTATATAACAAACACATAATTCAATTACTATAGACAAATAAACAGGTATTTGCTATTGCTTTGGGTATATTAAAAGGAGAACTATGGGGTCAGTGTTTTTCCCCATAGTTCTTAGGGTAACGGGGGGACACAAACTAGCGTCCTCCCGACATTAATGAAGAACGCTAGGAAAAAGATTAACCATTGCAGTGGGGCTACCCCTGCACTACAAGGGTTAAGTGCTTGTTTTGTTATACTCACCAGACCATCACATAACCGCACACATTAACTTTGGGAAAAGATACCCGTTTTCTTTCTATAAAATGCAATGTGGTAGGTATAGAAAACAATGCACAAGCCAATTCCTAGAGTTCTGCTTTAAGTTAATTTACCACATCAGATCCAGCCACAAACTGAAATGCCAGCTTTGGTGGTAAATCTTTAAAAGCAGTTATAGTGTTAGAAGAGTTGGTCAGCGAGATATGCACTAGTAATTGTTCTGCGCTTATCCTATACATCTCAAAATGGATCTGGTCCTACATGGTCATTTTTCCCCCCCTTTTATCCCTGCATGTGAACAGCGATCATTAAATGAACACACTACATAAATGTGAGATATTTGAGCAATTTACCTTTCTAAAGGTCCACCAAACTTTTTATAACTTTTAATAAACCTAGAAGCACAAAAGAAAAAAAAATGTAAGCTCATACTGTGGGAAAACAACATTATTTCAAACATACAAGGACATACACTTTAGTAAAAGCCAAATAGGTAAAGGAAGGCTTTTCTACCCAAATAAAAACTGTCTATTGTCTGAACAACAAATATTTAAATGCGGATAACACCGGGGGTAAATTAAGCAATAATATTTATTGTGGTAATGCAGTTATACCTTCTTATTTCAGCATCACTAAAGCCTTTAATGTTCTCTCGTGGAATCGTTCTTGGCCGGCCCCTTTTTTTGGGGCGTTTTCTGTCAGAACCAGAGTCACTGTCCTCGGACCCAGAGTACCTTCTGTTTCTGCTGCGTCTACCTTCGCTTCCATTGAAGCCAGCCTGAAGTACACAAAACCATCATGAAATGCAAAATCATACAGCCAAAACAGCAGCATCAAGTTTGCAACAGTGGAAAGGAGTGTCCAAGTACAAAAAGGAGTAACAAGAGATTCCGCTATATATCATATATATTACTTGTTTTGCACAATTGCGCATCCTAGGAAGAAGATAGATTTCTTGAAGCTCCTTCTGTCTCTCCTCTTCCTCCATTCTTCTTCTCTGGTCTGTAGGAATAATGTCCTCCCAGGATTTTGAATTACGATCACTTTCTGCAATATCATCTTCCTCCATTGTAGAAAAGTTAGCAACCTTTTTTAAAAAAGAAAAAAAAAAAAAAATGAACCAAGGTGACAGAATATCATGCAACTGCAGTAATGACTCCAGAAAAGGCACTAACATTTGTTTATACCTATAGTGAAGTGCATCTGCTTAACGACAGCTTTGTCTGTATTAAAAGGTACCAGATCAGAAGACACTTCCTATATGAAGGCGATTATGATTAAATGAAATACCTTGAATTGTGAAAGCAGCTCATCTCCTACAGTCGTTAGGCCGCCTTCATTTTCATGCGTTTCTGCTCTGTTCAAGATTTCATCAATGTCCATTTCCTATATTTAAAATAAAAACAAACACTCAGCACAAAGGGGCCTAAAGAATAAGTGCACTTTGTTTTAAAGTGCACTTATTCTTTAAATGCAGGTCTGTGAGACAGAACAACACATGCTACATACATTCATAACAAGACAACAAGCTACGCAGAAGAAACGTTCTACATATTGGATTTCATACCTGGGGCTCCTCCTCTTCTCCTTCAGGTTCCTTGAATAATTCTTCAGCACCAAACTTTAAAATAGCAGCAAGCTCTTCTTTGTTAAATGGTGTAGAACTTTGAAAGGGATAAGACATGTTAGTGCAAAGTATCAACTAGTAGAATATACAAACGGCTTATGGCAACATATACCTAGATGGAGTTGATCCAGTGTGTAAAACTGTTTTGCCGGTAGTGTCCATTCTCTGAATAACAAGATGATCCAGCACCATTTTTTTCTTCGCTCTTTCAATAATTTCTTCCTCCACAGAGCTTTTGGTGACCAGGCGATATATGTTCACCTAAAACACAACAACATAACATATTAAAAAAACAAAACATTTACTTTATATCTATTACATTTTTAATTTCTTTCAGAGGAGACACCATTTCATGTAACCACATTTATCTGGGGCAACAATGGGAGAAACTTTACTAGGTTCAAATAGCATTTAAAACACTAGCACACTTTGGGTGACGGGACGACGCTAGTTTGTGTCCTCCCGTTACCCTTAGGAGAACTATGGGGAAAAGCCCTAACCCCATAGTTCTCCTTTAATCCGATCTTCTTTCCTGTCGTTTTCATCTGACTCCTCTGTCCTTGCTGGCACTTCCTGTCCCACGGTATCTGCATGCGGGTGCACGCTGTCTATATACTTACCTTGTGTCTCCTCGTCTCCCGGCCGAAAATGTGAACTGCGCATGTGCCCGCCCGAGAACTTTCACATTTTCGGACGGGAGCGCACGGGGAAGACAAAATGTAACTTTTACAGCGTTTTTTTTTTTTACACTTTTTGCATATATCTACTGCTTGCTAACAGTAGATATATGCAAAAACACCTGTGTATAATAACCCTTAATAACCCTTTAAGTAAACAAACAGATTGAGATAAGCCAGATGCTAAAATAGCATGGGCAAATTACAAATATATAGGGCTGGTAATGATTCAAATTTTTGTGTTCGATTAATCGAAATTTTTTTTTACTCGATTAATTTCGATTATAACGCACATACAGATCCAACTACATTGGCCTATAGTATACAGCACAGCAATGAAGTAATAAAATGAACTAGGATCACACTAATCCAGCATGTTATTAATCTCACGTGCCCCACTCAATATGGCCGCCGCTTGAGTGGGGCAACTCAGAATAACAACGTGTTGGATTAGTGTGATCCTAGTTCATTTTATTACTTCATTGCTGTGCTGTATGTGTATAGGCAAATGCCTTTGCTGGCGCTCGTGCAGAACAAATACTCACCGGCCCAAGTGGCTCTGTCGGCTAACGAAGGGAAGGGGGAGGAGTCCGGTGACGTCACGGACATAGACGTCACCGGTCTCCTCCCCCTTCCCTCCGTTAGCCGACGGAGCCACTTGGGGAAGGGGGGAGGAGTCAGGTGACATCGATGTCCGTGACGTCACCGGATCTCCGACTGGACTCCCGGAAGCCGGCGGAGAGGTGAGTGTTTTCATTAGCGATCAAAAAACACTGAAAAATGACCTGAACTGTGGAAGCTGTGCCCCAAAAAAGGAAAATGACTTTTCTAGATGTTCTCTATAACGTAGCAATTTTGAAATTTTGGAGTACAGGTCCACTATAAATTAATGCTGTTTCTTAATGCTCATTGATGACTGAGTAATGTGCAATAGTTTATTGGAAACAGTAATGTAAAAGGGAAATACTGCTTTCCTTTTTAGTAATATAGTATATAGCAAAGTTAAAGTGAACTTCTTTTTCTTCTATTACATACTCCACATACTCCAGCTAAAGAAAAAAAGAAAAACTACACAAATGCTAAAATGATTAGCCATTAAATATACTCCCAAACATAAGCTACAGAATGGTAGTATTTTGTTTCAAAGAAGTGCCAGCACACATGAAGTTATGGCTTGAAACAGCTGCATTCTTTGCTTTAAATTCAGCGTCATGCATTTTCTACCTCAACTGGCGCCCCCAGAGAAAATAATCCAGCAGTGTCACATGGAAGACCCTGTAAACAATTAATAACCTTGAATGCTGAAGGAATTGATGGGTCTAACGAAGGGGGGAGGAGTCCGGTGACGTCACGGACATAGACGTCACCGGACTCCTCCCCTTTCCCTTCGTTAGCCGACGCAGCCACTTGGGGAAGGGGGGAGGAGTCCAGTGACGTCTATGTCTGTGATGTCACCGGACTCCTCCCCCCTTCCCTTCGTTAGACCCATCAATTCCTTCAGCATTCAAGGTTAATTGTTTTACAGGGCCTGCCATGTGACACTGCTGGATTATTTACCCTGGGTTGCCAGGTGAGGTAGAAAATTTCATGGTGCTGAATTTAAAGCAAAGACTGCATCTCCGACGGAACTTCTGCAAGACCCGGAAGCCGGCGGAGAGGTGAGTATCGATCAAAAAAATGAACGATTAATCGTTAATTTCCGCAGGCCTACAAATATACATTCTACACACTTCTGGCAGAGTATCAAATACTAAAAAAAACTAAAACTTCTGTCAAAGACCCTTTTTCCCCCTGACCCATGGAATTCAGATCCAAAGGGTTAATGTACACTGCAGAAAAAAAAAATGGATGAAGTGTAAAAGCAAACATGTACAGACATCCTATACAATAGAAGGTGAATATACTTAAATTTACAAAACAAGACCCTAAATACATAAAGTGGCATCAATAACACTATATAAAGATTAGTATTTTGATCACTGTTAACTTTAAATAAGAAGGGCTTTTTCTTTTAGTTTTATACACAACTAGCTTCAGCCTGCATACATCTCATGCATTACACATACATGGTAGTTAAATACATTTACATTTTACAGAATGTATTACAGTTTCAATGTTGGACGAAAAATGTAATCACCTGTTTCTTTTGTCCAATACGATGAGCTCTGGCTTGAGCCTGCAAGTCATTCTGTGGATTCCAGTCTGAATCAAAAATGACGACTGTATCAGCGGAAGCCAAGTTTATGCCAAGACCACCAGCTCTTGTAGAGAGGAGGAAGCAAAAGTCCTATTAAATGGAAAGATATTGGGATTAGATATAATATTGCCTTGTCTATTTACCTTATGGACTCCTGGGTGCTTAAAGCTGAACTACATGCAAACAGATAACTACACAGCTGAAATACTGTTGCATGGCTCTGCCAGAGGATTACACCACTTTTTTTTGTTACAGTGGTGTTCCCACAGCCTGCTGAGAGGACAGTGAAAAAGAAGCAGCGGGCTGAGAAAGTCTGCTCATTTTTTCAATTGGCATATTCCTTTTCAGCACACCTGACCAGCTCCTAGCTCTGCAGTACAGATGACTACAAAGGCAGATACCAAGTCAAATTCAGATACAGTAATACCTTGGTTTACAAGCATAATTCGTTCCGGAAGCATGCTTGTAATCCAAAGCGCTTGTATATCAAAGCGAACTTCCCCATAGGAAATAATGGAAATTCAGATGATTCGTTCCACAACCCAAAAATATTCATATACAAATGATTACAATACTGTACTGTAATATAATACTGTACAAAATATAAAGACAAATAAACCAATTACCCATACCTTTGTGGTTGGTGTGAGGGGGACGAGAGAGAGAAGGATTATTGTGTAGGACGACTTTCACTATCACTAACGGAATCACTGCTATCTCTTGACTCAATGGAATCTTTTTCATTTCGTGAAACCTTAACAAGGAATCTATCCAATGTGACATTGTGTTGTCGTTAAACAGACTCATCGCTCACACAGCTACAGCCTTATTCGGGTGGCGCTTTTCTACAAAATTTTGCTCTTATTGCAAGACATTTGCTTGTATATCAAGGCAAAATTTTTCAGAAATGTTTGCTTGTCTTGCAAAACGCTCTCAAACCAAGTTACTTGTAAACCAAGGTATTACTGTATTTACACAAGTTGAAAGAAAAAAATAAAAATTAAAATAAAAAGGATTTTTTTAACCCTACAATCTTTTTCACGGATTCCATTGAGGGACATGGCTCTGAAGAATTCTGAGACTTATGGTTATGCTTTTGCATTTTAGGAGAAATAGACACTAGGCAAACAAATTAAAAACATCAAAAAGGATGACAACCTAACTAATCCGCTTAGAAATAGTGGATCTAGAAGCGGAACATGCTTTTTTAGAATCTTCTGCAAGAACAGATAAAGAGTCAGAACTTCGATAAGAAGTTGACTAATCACCCATACAACAGCCAACCAAGGAAAATACATTTCCATAAGATGAACAGGAGTGGGACAAAGTGAAGGTAAAACCATGTCTTAATTAAAATGAAAATCTGAGACTACCTTCGGAAAAAAAAAAAAAGGAAACCCGTGGTCTCAAAACAACATCGTCTCTATGAAGAACCAAACAGGTCCTTCTCTACAAGACAAAGCAGACAACTCAAACCCTTCTAGCCAAGGTAACGGCCACAAAAAAAGCAACCTTTTTTGGTTAATAAACACAAAGAAATGTCTCATAGGCTCAAAAGGAGGTTTTGAAATACATAAAACCAAGGTCAATGTCCATGGAGGAAAAGGACACCTAACAGGAGGAGTCACATGAGTAGTACCCTGAATAAAAGTACGACAAAGACCCAAATATTCCAAGAGATGTGATGGAACTAGGGACGAATTCTCAATGTTCAGAATCCAACCGAAGTCCTATAAAGACTTCAGCAGCATCTAGACATCGAGTTTCAAAGTAGGAAGAGACTGTTCTCAAAGTAAAAAGTCATTCTACAAAAAAAAGAAAAATACCAAAACCGGAGCAAGACGTTTTGTAAAAAGAAAACAAAAAAAAACCCTTGGAGGCAAAGCCAACCCGAAGTGAAGAGCCACAAATTAATAATGAAGGTCGCCCATCGCCGATGAGCTGAACATACAGGAATGTGTAGATAGATATCCTTTATGTCTATGGAAACAAAAAAAGAATAAAATCTCGTTGTCTTAGAGAGGCAACATCTGACCGATGCCTCGACTCCATCCAGAATTTGTGAATATGTACAAAACGTATGAAGTGCTTTCAAACCAGAATCGAACAAAGTCTTCCGCTGGGTTTGGGAACCGTAAACATGTTTGAGTAAAAACCTTCAAAAGGCTCTGCCAAAGGGACAGGAATAAAGCTCTGCCAAGGAACAGTAATAACACCTGGATCCAACAGGCCTTGAACAGCACAAAAAGTTTCATCATATAAAATATATAAAAGACAGAAAAGGAGCAGGATTACGACGCTGATCCCTGTTTTTTCACATCCGAGGCAAGTGTTCACTTTTACCTTCTGTAGCATTTTTAATAATCTAACCCAAGGTAGCTTCAAAAAGACCACTCACATAGGGTAAACATAAAAGTCCCTTTTTACACTGGGGTTCGAAAGAAAGAAAAGAAAAAAAAAAAGAAACACTCAAGACAACAGACTGCAAGCATCAAGAAACAGGTTTATGAAATGAGAAGCAACAGTCCTCTGATCCACACAATAAAAATGTAGATCAACTGCAGCAGTCGCCTGTTCTGTACTAAAAGATTTTGTCCAAGTAGCCAAAGTCTGGGAAATAAGGACCGTAGCCATAATGGTTGAAGAGCCGATCCAGTTTAAAAAAATAAAAAATAAAATAATAATTCAAAAAAGGATCCTGGGGCTTAACGTGCTTAGGAACTAGAAATTGCTTATCTGGAATTTCCCAATCCTTGTATAAAAATAGGATGAAGAGGAAAATAAACTTGCAGACATGCTCAGGTTTATGTGAACCTAGGCTAGAAATGATAAAAGTAGAAATAACAGAAGGATCCTTTAATTTTTAAAGATGAACACTCAGCCTAATTTAAGAAGGCAACCGTTACTTTCTGATGCCCAGTGTATCCGTCACATCCCAGCTACTGCATCAATGATATGGCATAATGTTTATGACAAGCATACATTAGATGTATTGTATTCATGAGCTGAATTTATGAGCTATGTTCTTTAATCAAGAAAGGAAATGGTGCATACCCCAGGCACCTAGATAAGCGCCACCAATATCTGGCTACTGTATAACTATCAAGAGGGCGGTCACTTCTTACTGAGTGAAAACGACATCGTTATCCAGGGAGGGGGAAACAGTCACAATTATTTTTCCCAGGAAGCCTGAGCAAAAATAAAGAGAGCTTCCCCATGTGGCCAACTTGTGAAATACATCAAGTAAAACAAGCACAGGTCACCATAGCAACACTTCAGAGGCCTTGGAATGTACAGGCCACTTGTGACAGGAAGAAGCAGAAAGATCAGTGACACCAATGTACTGTATGTCACAAGTTCCTGAATAAAAAAACAGTAGTAAGACACAGAATAGGAAAGGAAAAAAATTCAGTTTAATGCTGTGCCCTGCTAATGAGTCTGTTCTGACAACTCTGCTTCAGACAGATTCAGATACAGACAATACTACTCACGACCTTGACCGATGCAAGGAAAAAAATGAGGCACAGCAACCACCTGCTACAGACAACAGAATATTTGATTCTGGCTTTGTAATAGTAAAAAGCGGGATCTTTTTCCACCCCAAAAAGCAATATGAAAGTGAAGGTAACTAAGAAAAATTAAGCAGAGTCAAAACCGCTACATTCACCTTCTCTGCTGATAGAAATGCACTACACTGCTCTGAGGAAACCCTAAAAAACAGACTCCACGGCCCTGCTCCCAACATACAATGAATCCCTACATAATACTGGCCTGATCGTTAAATGATGAAAACCGGAACACCCCAGTACGAAACATAGGTATTGAGACCAGAAAGGACCTGCTTCATGACCACCGCAGGAAGAAACAGAAGTACCAAGAGAGGAAAGGACCTGCTTCATGACAACTAGAGAAACTTCCAAGATTTCACTTATCTGGCATGAATTTCTCAGTTTTGTCGGTTAGCTGGAGAGACTCACCGGATTTAATATAGCCAATATGAATAAACTAGCAGCTCTTGGTGATAGAATCTTTAAAGGAAGAAACAAAATTAATCCAAAAGAGTAGACATCCATTCTCCCGAGGACACCAAGCAAAATTGGCAGGTGTGAGGTAAAAGGGGTTACGCCCTAAGGCCTCATTCACACTAAGCGACACTTGCCTCGAGCGGATTTCCGCGCGGCGGGATAGCGCGACCTTCACCGCCGGGCTGCATACAAAAATAGAAAAATCGTGCGACATCCGCGGGGAAAAAGGGTCCTGCACAAGCGACATGGAGCTGTACAATATAACAGCTCCATTGAAAATCATTGGACGGCGACTTCTCGCGATATCGCGCCGCAAATATACGCGATATTGCCGCAGAAATCGCGCAATTAAACGCCCAGTGTGAATGGGCACTTAAAGTGAAAGGCTTTTAATGTGTGCCTTGTATCCATTTCTCCTAGAGGCAGCAGCGTAAACCCTACATCTCAGAATACTTCAGAGCCGTGTCCCTCGAAGGACGATAGCAAAAGAATGTTGGAAAGAGATATGCAGGAGGTTATATGTAGCAAAATATAATCTGCAAACAAGGCCGCTTTATGACCGATACCCGCTACTTCTAAGCCTCAAATGTCCATGCTCTGCTAATAACTTGTGAACTAAAACAGTAGTGGAGACAGGGGGCAGCCATAATACTTGATGGATGCTGGCAGTGCATCATACATGCCTTCAATCCATGACAAAGTGAGTATCCAAGCCGCAATTTTGTAACACTGTGCGCAAGTAAGACTACACATCAAATTCTTTACACATATCTATGCATGAGTAACATTTCCAAAAAGACAGTTGACAGGCTAGGTGGTTCAGGACTCCGAGGGACAAAGCGAAGTTGATCTTTATGAATGAGACCATTGAGGACAAAACACAGTATTTCCAAAAGTTAATATTAAAGCTCAAAGCTTGAACATTTAGACATTACCTCTGAGCCTTCAGCATTAAAATGATCAAGTGCTTGCTTTCGTATTTCTCCTTTGATGGACCCATCTAACCTCTAGAAAAAGAAACATTTTTAGAAATTGTTTTACAAGGATTTGACATGTGCATTATTGCTACGATCACTGACTGTATTTATTAGCTACTCACCTGAAATGGAAACTGTCGAGACTTTAAATATTCTGCAAGGATGTCCAGCATCCGCACCATTTGAGAAAAGATCAAGACTCTGCTACCTCGTTCACGTAAACGTTTTAGCAACTTGTCCAGGAGAATGAGTTTCCCGCTACTGCGAATTAAGTGCTTTACAGGATAACAAGAAAATAAATAAAATATCACATTTATTTTCCTCACACAAAATGACCTATTATGCTTTCTTTGGAAATGGCATTTTGCTGGCAAATGGACACCAAAGAGTATGGGTAGACTGATGAATACTTAAGCTGTGTTATTTTGATTAGAACATATACAGGTGAAACTCGATTAGAATATCGTGCAAAGTTCATTTATTTCACTAATGCAACTTGAAAGGTGAAACTAATATATGAGATATACTCATTACATGCAATTCAAGATAATTCAAGCCGTGATTTGTCATAATTGTGATGATTATGGCTTACAGATCATGAAAACCCCAAGAACCCCAAATCCACAACCTCAAAAAAGTAGATTATTACATGCAATCAATAAAACAAGGATTGTACATAGAACAATATCGCACCTCTGAAAAGTACAAGCATGCATATGTACTCAGTACTTGGTTTGGGCCCCTTTTGCAGCACTTACTGCAATTACTTTTGCACGATATTCTAATTATTCGAGTTTCACCTGTACTTGCTTCCGCTATTTACAGGTACCAAATATGTAGTCACTAGATCTTGAATTTAAAAATCGATAAATTAGGCTTCACTTATAGAAACTGGGTGAAAGGATAACAGAGGCAATGTCCTGGGCACACAACCACACATCTGTTTTTTTGGCTACAATTCAGTTCATACCCTTAGACCAGGGGTGCCCACAATTTTTCGTCTGGTGATCTACTTTTCAAATGACGAGTTCAATGAGATCTACCAACGAAAAAAAAAACAACCTGCATACAGGGGCAAGGCGGTGCATTGAAATCAATGGCACTGCAACCACACCCCCAGCCTGCAGTGCGATCGCCCGCACCCAGAACACAGGCACATTAGTGCCTGCGTTCCAGTCCAGTGTAATCTGCAAAAATGCTGCAAGTACTATTTTTGCTGATCACGGGTGCTCGCACTGTGGGCGGGGGGCGTGACTGCGGTGCCATTGACTTCAATATAACCCCGCCCCTAAACGCAGGGAGCCAGCCGGCTTGTGTTCCAGTTCTTTCTAGAGGGCGAACACTCAGGAACGCAGACTTTGTGGTGTGAACTGGCCCTCTCTCTTGGCTGTCTCTTCTCTCTCCCTCCCGTTTGTATCTGCTGTCTCTCTCGTCTGTCTTTTCTTACCTCCACTGCAGCAGCTTCCCAGGTCTCCTCTCGTGGGCGGGGGCATCCTGTCCTCACGAGGTGCTCGTGTGGCCGATGTTGCACACGGGGAGTGGTGTCCCGCCCCTTCCCGTCTGCAGTGTCTGACACATTCAGCTGGCAGCCGCACGAGGACAGGACACAGCCGATTGAGAAACTACCAGCGTTCGCTTTGCGATCAACTGGTAGATCGGGATCGACCGAATGGGTACCCCTGCCTTTGATAATTACAAAAATGCCCTTTTGCCTGGGAAACCATAAAAAAATCTAGGTACATAAGAAAGGTTACATGTGCAGAACACTAAGTTCAAGCAGTGCTTTCTGGCATGGACTACTCTTCCTCACACTCACAAAGCAGGATAACATCATTAGACGTACAAAAAGAAAACCATACTGAGCCGCTGTGAGCTTTTCCAGCTCAGTATAGAAAATGTATGTGGTGAAGCAAATAAGAAAATTGCAATGTACCATATCCCACCTCTAACCTCCTCAAAACTATCAAGTAAAATTGAAATTCTAACGGTTTATGGCCTCATAAGGTCAAAGGTCTACAAATATTCACCACACATTCTCACCTGTAGAGCCTCTTGCCGGTTATAAAACTCATTATCTTCTGGTGGCTTAATGAGGTAGCAATGATTACAACACTTCTTTAGCTCCATCATGACGTTCAAAAATCCTGAGGTACTGCCCTTGGAACCTTTGCTCAAAGCCTTGTAATTCCTGGTTAAAATCCATCTAGGAAAACCAACAGATTTTAGTTTACAAAATGAGGCACTTACAAAGTAAAAAATAAAAACAAGATAAGTACATTAGATGCAATAAAAAAAAAAAAAAAAAAAAAAAAAAAAAAATCTGATTTTGTTCTTACCGTAATTTCCCTTTCTCTGAGTCCATTGAGGAACACAGCTCCCTCCCCTAATTTTCTTATACACTGCTTGCTACAACTGGCAGGTATGAGGGGTTATGTCCTTAAAGTGGCAGGCTTTTAATTTTTTTTTGCCTAGTGTCAGTTTCACCTAGAGGCAGCAGCATATAACCATACATGTCGGAATGCTTCAGAGCTGTGTCTGTCAATGGACTCGGAGAAAAGATTCTATGGTAAGCACAAAATCCTTTTTTTCTCTATTGTCCAGTGAGGGACACAGCTCTGACGATCTCGGAGATAAAAGGAATGTTCAAAAGCAGTCCAGAACAGATGGGCACGCACCATAACAGCTAAAAGAACCCCTTCAGTTCTCCGTAGAACATTTCTGCCAAAACTAGCATCAGAGTCAACAGAAATAACAACTTTAGAAAACTTAGTAAAAGTGTGAACAGAAAACCAAGTTGCAGTATTGAAATTTTGAGCAGCAGAAGCTTAATTCTGAAATGCCCAAGAAGTACTAACTGCCCCAGTAGAGAAACTGAGAAGAGACATGAAAGCCATTATATGTAGATAGAAGTAAAACATTACGCAACCACTAAAATAAAAACAGAAGGGGAAAAAACAAAAACCTATCTTCCCATTCATATATAGATATATCATGACTCCATGGATCTGTTCCCTTCATGACAGTAAAATTCCCCAGATAATACTGGCCTGACAGTATAATCAAAAAAATGATCATGGGAACTCAGGACCAGCGCAAGACAAAGCATAAGTACTGAGTCCAGAAACTACCTGCTTCACAATCCCCTCAGCACGAACCATAAGTATGGAAACCAGCACTGACCTGTTCTCCAAAGGCTAGAGAAACTTCCAGGATTTAACTTATCCAGTATAAACCTCCAAGTCTAGTCAGCTAGCGAAACTCCCAGGATTTAATTTTTATTTTGGTAAACTATAAAAGACGGGGTCACGTCGGGTAAATAGACACCAAAGAGGTCATGCTTAAAAATTGCGCGCACCCGCGAAAAACTACCACACTCAAAATTGCCCATAGGCGACGCTTTAAAAGCTTTTACAGCTCATCAGTTTAGTGTTATCAGTGATTGATGGCCCTAGAATTACTGCTCTCACTGACGTTTGCGGCGATATGTAACATGTGCGGCGTAATGGGCGCAATCGTCGTTTTCGCAGGCATGCGCACCTGACGCATGTTTGCATGTGTGTATGTATGGGTGGGGAAAAAATTTTGTTTTTTTAAAATTCTTTTTTATGTGTAACTTAATTTTTTGGGGGAAACTTTAATTTTCTTTCCTATTTTTTTCCCACTTAACTTTATTGCTATCACATAGGGGGGCTAAGAAACCCCCTTATGTGATAGCAAAAGAAGTGACAGGTTCTCTTTATGGAGACATCAGGGCTCTCCAAGACCCCTAATGTCACCTAGGACCCCCCTAAGAAGCTGATGAAGAAGAGATCTGCTTCATCAGCTTCTCTTCAGCGTCTGAAGCTGGAGAGTGACACGAGAATGCGGAAGTGATGTAATATACATCACTTCCGCATTCTGACACCAGAGGGAGATCGTGTACCGACCTCCCTCTGATCCCATCACAGAAGCATTTTGCTGGTCCCGGGCTCGCACCGGGCACAGCGGAGCCCGGGACCAGCGTGACAACGGGAGGGGGGACACGGGCCGGCAGCTTATACAAGCAATCCGCCGGCTGTATAGCTTGTATGTCAACGGGCATCGCTGCCTGTTTTTATATTGACGGCGTTTACCGCTCGCCGCACGGCAGGGCTAACAGGCCGTGTTACATCCAAGAAGCTACGGGCCGTCCGTTTATGTACAACGGCTGGCCGGGAAGCGGTTAAAGTGTCAGGCTTTTAATTTCATTTAATTATTTTTTTGCCTATTCTCTTAGAGGCAGCAGCGTAACCTACGTATCAGAATTCTACGCAATGGACAAGAGAGAAAACAGTTTAGTGAATACATTAGCACATTAATTAGCGTTTAAAGGAGAATTATGACCTAAGGGCAAATAAAAGTACTTCTTGCCTTTACTTTAATAGCATTCTTCTTCTTTTCCAAAGTCGCAGCACATCCCAGATAAATTAATCAAAAAAGCCACAGAAAACAGCCACCTGCAGCCATGCTCCAAGCTCCTTTCCTCTTAGGGGGCGTTAACGGGGAATGCAGCATTTCTAACTCTCTCTGCCTTGGCCGCGCTTTCTCTAGTCAAGCACACTGTGTACGGCTGGAGTGTGCACACTGACATGTGGGAGCAGGAGGCAGAGTCTCAACTGAGAAGCAGCAAGCTGACTCAGCCTCCCTTCTCTTTCCCCTCTCCCTTGCCAGTATTTCCCTCTCTCTTCACCGACCTTCTCCTGCTCTGTCTCAGTAATCAGATGCTTGCAGCAGTTGTATGGAAACCTGTTCTTCGTAAATATGTTCCCCCTGACCGTTCAGCTATTACCATAACCCCACCCCTCCCGCACAGCTGCTTAGTATTTACATAGCCCTGCCCCCTCTCTGCAAGCTCCGGTGTTCTATGAGAGACTAATGTCTCCTCTCACATTGTGTGCACATTTTCATGACGGAGAGAGAGGAAGGAGGGGCGGAAGCACTGAGGAGAAATGGCCTTCCATGCACGCACTGTCATTTGCTGGCACAGACGATGGAGATGGAGGTAGGAAGAGAGCTGCTGCGCATGCCCATGTATTCGTGGATGTGCAGCAGTTCTCAAGGAATGCCGTCAGTCACGGTGAGAACGAGCAGTTGGGAGGATCTCGACAGTATTGTCGGGATCTCTCCCCACTGCGGCGCTTAGCCCCGCCCACCATCTTAAAGTAACGATTGTATGTTAAGGGTGCATTTTCGATTATAGGAGTAAATTGCAAAATTTACTCCTATACCCCATGGAATCCAAAAGTAAAGAAAAGCTTGGACACCATAGTTCTCCTTTAATACTTGCCTACACGTTCATCTTTTACCACTTTGTTACAATTATATATTTTCTAAAAGGGCCTTTTAGAAAGAAAAAAAAAATGCTAGTGTAATGTTTTCATTAATGTTGCTTTATATCTGTGAAAATGTTTATTAAATCAGCATTTTAGAAAAAAATTGTCATAGCATATGTCACATAACTAATATTGTAAATGCCAGTTGCGTTAGAGCTCGTTGTTGTTGTCTTAATGATCTATTACTAATTCACACCTATTATTGCATGAAATCAGTGTTGCTGCAATTGATTCTTTTCACATATTGATGAGAACGACGCTTTTCTTATCAAATGCTTTTCCACTATAATTACTTCATGGGATCAGCATTGTTGCAATTGATCATTCTGCATATTAATGAGTGGCGTTTTTTTCTTCTGCTTTTCTCCTTATCAAAAGTTAAAGTCAATAACTCCATGATGGCGGCTAGGATTGAATACATATTTTTCTTTGCCATAGAATAAGCTCACGATCCTACAATGAGCTGTAAACGATTGAGCACAGACCGGCGTTCAGCTCCCATTGATTCTGGAGGAGGCGGTACCTGTCAGAAATTCTGACCAACTGCTGATGACCCGCGGCGCATGCGCAGTAGCTCGGACCACTGACACATTGTATAGAGCTGACGGCTCTTTCTCTCTCATTACGGACGAGTGCCCCGGTCTCCATGACGACCGGGGCCGCTCGTTATACTGTTGTTGCCACATATAAACATAAATATTTTGATATAGCCAGTGCATATAATTTAACTAGAAGGAAACCATGGTGGGGCTAGTTTTTCCCCTTCATAATGGTCACAGCAGGAGGGCAGACTTAGGAACTCTGGCACAGGAGTCTTGACCAGGGATATCAGAAATGATTAGGGATTCACTGATACTAGTATCGGTGCCGATGCTGTGTATTTGGACGAGTACTCGTCCAAATGCTCCGAAGCCTAGCTGCCCGGCTTCCTGATTGGCTGGGATGCCGGCTCCATGCTCCGTCATGAGGTGACGAGGGAGCATGAAGCAGGCTACCCGACCAATCAGAAAGCCGGGCAGCTAGGCTTCGGAGCATTTGGGCGAGTACGAGTACTCGTCCAAATACTCAGCATTGGCACCGATACTAGTATCGGTGCATCCCTAATCATTTCTGATATCCCTGGTCAAGACTCCTGTGCCAGAGTTCCTAAGTCTGCCCTCCTGCTGTGACCATTATGAAGGGGAAAAACTAGCCCCACCATGGTTTCCTTCTAGTTAAATTATCACTTTTGGGTGGACCGGCCCCTTAGCGTTGGGGGTAGGGCGGGAAGAAAGAAAAATAGCAGTTCTACTTACTTATAGTACTGTTTCTGCAGAGCACTCATCTCTACCCTCAGAATCTGCTCTACTTTTGCCGGTAATGACTTCTCCACATCTTTTTTCACTCTTCTTAAAAGGAATGGCTCAAGTTCTTTGTGGAGACTGGCATAGCCATATTCTCTGCCCTTTCCATGTTCCTCTTCAAAGTGTTCCCAGGATGAAAATCTAGAAAAACAAGACAGCACTGTCAAACCCAGATCTCGAAATATTGCTTTTTTATTTTTTTAAAATAAAAGTCTCTTTCTAACTTACTTTTCTGGCATGATGAATTGAAGAAGGGACCAGAGCTCTTTAAGGGAATTCTGCAATGGTGTTCCGGTGATAAGAAGCCGATGGTTAGACTTGAAGTCTATGAGGGACTTGTACAAAAGGGAATCATCATTCTTTAATCGATGAGCTTCATCAACTCCAATGAAAGCCCAGTTAAGACCCCCTAAAAAAGACTAATGGAACGAATTGTCAGTAATGCACTATACAGACCCAGCACATGGGCTCTAAATAAAATTGAGAAGATATGCCACATACATTTTAAAACTCCTTCAAAAACAGATGTTCAAGTTACATAAATTAAACAGCGGATAGAAAGTGCACACTAACAGATCAGAAATTAAAGCCACGCTCAGAGCAAAAATAATTTACTGCACTGGGTAAGTAAATCATTAAAAAATAAAAAAAACTTTTGTGAGGAGGGAGGCGGCAAAGTATAAAAATCTTACCTTGCAGCATGCCGTCCCCTGCACACAACACCCAGATTCCGGGAATTAAAAAGGAGAGCTGCAACCCAAGCTGTACAGTGCTCCAGTCGTATCACCACCCCTCTTTACTATCCTCCATTCAGAAAGGTCTTGTATGATACAATTCTGTAATTGGACGAAGGAAGGGACAGAGATGTGACCATCTCTCTTCCTCCAAGTACAGACTGGCCTGTGATGGGAGCAGAGTGCTGTATATCTTTCCCTCTCTTCAGTGCGCGGAAGTTCAGCACTGCTGCAAGGCAATATGTTTATACTTTGCTACAGCCCTCAGCACACAACACGCTGTGTGTAAATTATCATCCTCCCTGCAGTGCAGTTTAGGTGCAAATCGCTCGAAATCTAAAGAATTATTTTCTTTCTCTCAGGTGTTGAAGCGTTCCTCATAGACCAGTGTGACCTGTAAGAACTGCTCCAGGCACTATAGTGCCCTCAATAGAAAAACTCAGGTTACACCTAAATTTTTTTGTCTCAAGTTAAAATAACCACTTCCAGCAGGTTCACGTACATACAAGTCATCCGCTGGAAGTGGTTATACCACGAATACGGCTTCTGCTGCAGCTGTGTTCGTGGTACAGTTTTAAACATTAGACGATTGCTGTTTAAATACAAGCGATCCGGCATCTGTGCACATTCTCCGGCTCCTAGAGCCAGAAGAAGCTAGTGAAACAGATCTCTGCTTCATTAGCTTCTTTGGGGTCCCTAGGTGACATTAGGGGAGAAAGACCCCTGATGTCTCCATAAAGAGGACCTGTCACATTATATTTGTTATTACATTGGGGGCTTGTTAGCCCTTTTTTGATAGCAATAAAGTTGAGTGTAAAAAAAAAATACAAAAATTAAAAAACCGAAAAAAAAAATAAAATGCAAAAAAGTTTTTTAAAATCCCCCGCCCCCCACATACAATGCAACTATGCGTAGGATCCACCTACGTGCAAAAACGAAAATTGCGCCACACGTTACATAGCACTGCAAGCGTCGGCGTGCAAGCGATAATTCTAGGCCCATCAATCGCTGTTAACACTAAACTGATGAGCAGTAAAAGCATTTAAAGCGTCGCCTATGGCAAATTTTGGTTATTGTAGTTTTTTGCGGTTTCATGGACGCTAGCAATTTTAAGGCTTGACATGTCTGGCATCTAATTACCCGACGTGACCCTGTCTTTTATATATATTTTTTTTAATCATAGATTTTTATGGTTTTGAACGTCAAGACCCTGTCTTTTATATTTTACCAAAAAATTGGGTATTATATACTGTTTCTGTGCACTAAATTTAATTTTAGTGCATCTTATCCTAAAAATACTTGCTTGATAAACATTTGCGCAAATACTGTGCGACAAACAATTGCAACTAGCATCTTTTTATTCTACAGGAATATTTATATTTCTGCTTTCAGAACATATACAATTGTTTGGGGGTCTAAAGCCGTTTTCTAGCCAAAAATTCAGATTTTATCATGTGTGTGCAAATGTAAGAAATTGCTCCGGACAGCAAGTGGTTAAGTTAATATTTAGCGTTGCTGTGCATTAAAAAAAAAAAAAAGAGAACTATGGGGTAAGTGTTTTTCCCCATAGTTCTCTTTAGGGTCACGGGAGGGCATATACTAACCTTCTCCAGTGACCCAAAGCTTAGTATATAGCGAGCTATTGCCCGCATTATACCGAGAGCGCCGCAGCCGGGACAGATCCCAACAATACTGTCGAGATCCGCCCAGCTGTGTGACTGACAGCTGGCTCTGCTATCTAAAAGGCAGAGCCAGCTGTGCCCGCCCCCTCCCCAGTTTGTTCCTCCACTCAGCACTGGGGGATCGGACAGGGGAATCCCTACAGGGAGCTATGACTGACAGTCACCGCTCACTGCAGGGGGACAATTAAGAACTGAGCGGATCGACTGCATGTTTCTGCTCACTTCCCGATTAATAAACCTGACCGGTGACAGCTTCTGTCACATATCGGTTCCAACTATGAGGATGAGTGGAAACCACACCCCTCACAGTTTTCCTTTAATAGGCGTTTCAAAGGTTAAGAATTTTCACACAAATTTTCAACTCCTGACTGGAAAAAGCTACTGTGTAAAGATCCTCACCTTCTTTTAATCAGTCCACCTGCGTTGCATTTTTTACAAATCCATTAAACTACTTTTATAGTAAAATGCAGGCCACAGCAATGAAATCATAGCACTTTTTTGCCAATTAAAACATAAGAATGGGCACTATAGAGAAAATGAAACTATTACAAACTACACAAAGAAACACTGTTTTAAAACAATAAGACACATATTTACATTGAATCACTTAAAGACTGCAGAAATATATTTTAGGGCATTTGTAAGAACCTCAATCTCTACTCTTCAGTTTTCATAACATAGCCTTGTTCGTAAGGTATAACTTTGCCCTGTGTCAGTAAGGGCAGTTCAGTGTTCACCTGTCTTCTGCCTGACCTAGCTGATAATTGACTTCTGTACGATGGTAAAACAGCATTGCCTCTTATTATTATACAGGATTTATATAGCGCCAACAGTTTGCGCAGCACTTTACAATATAAGGAAGACATGACAATCACAATACAATTCTAGACAAGATGGTAAGGAGGGCACTTCCCCTGAGGGCTTACAATCTAAAAGGGAGGGGCAAGTGATACACGAGGAGGTTATCTTATTATCTGAATCTCTTTTGAATGTACTTGTATTCTCTTACGGCACTGACAAAAATACAAAAAAGCATAAACATACATACGCAGGTTAAGAAAATGTGACATGAACTTACTTTGTCCTTAAGCAGGATCTCGTAGGTTGTTAATAAAACATTGAATTTTAACCTCTTGGTCTGGGGGTGCATCCACTCATGAGTTCTGATCTGAAACACAATAGCAAAACCTATAAAAATAGAATAGACCCAAGGCATTCTGAAAATGCTTTAAGGGTGTTCAAAGACATTAGGATGCATTACAAGCTATAATGGCCACAATTGAATCTAGTAAATGCAACTGTTACACACAATACATATTAGATTCAGACATTTCCAATGTTCTCAGACAAATATGGGGCAGCAATAACACAAATAAATCCACACAAATCCAGGAAGAAAAGCCTAGACCTCCCGTTGCACTGTGCTGCCTCCTTCCCTTTTGCTGCTCTCATAACTAGTGTGGGGCAAAGTCAGCTTGTTTCAGACAAGTGGCTTAGGTCAGTCTCAGGTTGGCAATCATTCTGTAAGTGAGGCCATGGCAGGCAATGCCCACTTATATGCAGTTACCAAGCACCAGGTTGGGAGCACTGCTGATGGATGCTGGTTATATTATGGACAGGTCACACAATGTCACCCCAGGATTGTTGCTGCTACACATCAAGCTGAACAAATTATTATTATACAGGATTTATATAGCGCCAACAGTTTGCACAGGGTTTTACAATATAAGGAAGACATTACAATCACAGGGGTGTGGAATTCCTATCGCCCGACGCCCGGGACAGGCGGTTTCGGGCGCCGGGCGGGTAGTTTTTTTTAATACATTCGGCCCTGCTCCGGACAAGCAGAGCTAAATGTATATTGTGGAGCCGCCGCTCGTTTTCATACAAGTGATCTAATCAGATCACTTGTATGAAGCGAGAATCGGCGATCCTGTCCGCCCCACCCGCGCCGTGATTTTCGGGGGTTCCCCGCTCCTCGGGTGGACCCGTCACCACGGCAGGGGAGCTCACCATAGAGCCCGCAGAGCAGACGAAGAACTTCCTTTCTTCGTCTGCTCTGTGCCATCACTGAGACCGTGGCGCTGTGATCAGCGCCACCTGTCTCGGCTGTCAGGAACTACACAGAACATCAGTTCTGTGTTGGAGGGCAGGTTCCATAAAGAGAACCTGTCACCTCCAAACTATCACATAGAGGATTTTAACACCATATGTGATAGGAATAAAATAAAAAAACATTTTTTTTAAAGTTATAAAAAAGTAAAAATCAGTTGATTGGCTGGGAAGCCAGCTCCTTGCTGATTGGCCGCAAATCAGCATCAAGCCATCTTCCCGGCCAATCAGGTCATTACTCTCCGCCAGGTTTCCTGATTGGCTAGCAAGCTGGCTCGATGATGATTGGCTGGGAACCCGGCTTCCCAGCCATTCACAATCAAGCCGGCCAAACAACATGGAGTCGGCTTCCCTGGCAGTCAGGAAGCCGGGTAGCATCTCATTACCCGCTGCCCGATTGCCCAGGAAGCCTGCTCCATGCCAACGGAAGCACCTATAGTGAGTGCTGAAATCAAAATATTGGTACTCGTACTCAATATCCACAAACTGGTATTGGTGCACCCCTAGTTTTAAACTTTTAAAAAACTTTTTTTTTTGTGTTGGGACAAGTAGATTGTCATGAAGGACAAGTAGATTTGACCCCCGCTTTAGCCCTTGGACAAGTAGTTTTTTTCAAAAATGTCCACACCCCTGCAATCACAATACAATTCTAGACAAGATAGTAAGGAGGGCCTTGCCCATGAGGGCTTACAATCTAAAATATTATATGTCCTGAAAGAAAAATTAGCCAGACAGCTATTTCTTATTTTGTTGTGGGGGTGGGGGCGATGTGGATTTTGTCTAGGTGCCAATAAAAAAAAATAGACCTCACCTAAACCGGGGAGCCGGCTTGCTCTTAGACTGGTCATTCCAGCGTCTCTCCCCCTCCTCTGCAGCAGTCTAAGGTCCCGTAAATCATCATCTATACACAGTGTGTAGACGTGAGGATGCCGTGAACATTCCAATGCTGCAGCGTAGGAGGAGACAGGCTTCAGAGAATAAGGAAGCAGGGAGCCAGGCTCAGCCATTTGGGTTTGTATTACTTTTACCACCTAAGGAGCGGTTAACCCGTGCAGTGTGCGGGGAACCCCACAGCAATGGTTAATATGTTTTGACGGGAGTTCTTTAACTTGGCTCCAACAGATATAGGAATTTATACACAAATATTTGTGAAGCCATTTTAAATAAATGGCTTTTTAAATAAAGCCAACACATTCGTCCTTAATCTTACCAGACTATTATTGCACCCAGCATGACGGATGCATCTTTGCATCAAACAAAAATGTTTTTACAGTGAGGATGTACAAAGCATAATGTGATATCCACTCTAAAGATTGCATATGGAAGGTTGTTTGATAAAACGTACCACATTCCTGCTATTAATATCCCCCAAATATACCACAGCATTCATTAAAGGAGCCCAGGTCTGAATTTCTCTTTGCCAGGAGGTTAGCGTTGACAGGGGAACAACAATCAGAAAAGGCCCATACAGTTGGTGTTCGTGGAATAAGTAATTTAAGAAAGAAATGGTCTGAATTGTTTTTCCCAATCCCATTTCATCAGCCAGAATACAACTGTTTCCCCTGGAAAGAGAAAAAAAAAATGTCAAATACACTTTGCTAGAAGAACAGTTATAAGCTTCAAAAACTTGTCTTTCCCTTCTGTATTCGCTCATCCTGGGCAGGTCTGGTCCCTGTGCTCTGTGGGACTTCAAAAGAAAGCAGTCAACCCCATAGAAATCTGAAGGGGAATACTTCAACTACCAAGCATGCTCAAGACCAAAGTTCAGGGACCCAAACATTTCTGGGGCAGTGAAAGAGAGGAGTTTGTAAAGCACATTGTATGGTGCAGGATATTACAGAGGTGAGTGAAACATACAAAAGCTTTAAAAGCTTTAAAAACTTCCTTAATAAGCAAATGTTCTTTTTAATACAAACAGGGTAATTGGAGCTGTTGTGCATGGCACCTGACACTATCCCCTTCAGTTTCAATAAATTATATAAAGTGTATTACTAAATATTAAACTATCTCCCGGCCGGCCGTTGTAAAAAAACGGCC